GGAGGAGGAGGAGGAGGGAGGAGGGGAGGGGGGGGAGGGGCCCTGGACTTCGTGGCGCCTCAGTTTTGCAGAGCATTTTCTTAGGGTGGAGGGCTCTGGGTGAAGTTTATATGGGCTTCTGCACCTCGAAGACCAACCCGTTTTGTGGTTCACATCTTGCAGATTCAAGCCTCGGAGATCCATCGAAACGACATTTCAGATGTCACCATTTGCTCTCCACCAAAAGAAAATGCACAGTTTTGGTAGAGCTGGGCGTGTTCGCCCAGTTGCGGGCCACAGGGCCGTCACAGATCGCTGCGGCTCGATTGAGGTGCAGGAGCAAGGGGTCTGGGTCTCCAGTCGTGCTTTGTCGTGGTGTCTCATTTTCTCCGCTCAGTCGGATCTCGGGGGGGAGCCCTTCCTCATCCTCGCCCTCCCTGCTTCCCTAGACCCCCTCGGGCAAGGAACAAACACGGCAGGAGGCTTTTAGCTTTCTCGGCCTCTGGGGGCCATTACCGGGATTCGGGACGGCCAAAAACCAACCCAGGATGAGGCACCGATCCTGGGAAATTGGTGGAGGACTTTTGGTCGACGCTACGGACACAACATGACGTGTCGGAGGACCGGGTCTGCCGCTCGTCGTGCTTTTTCCTCCTCCTTCTCCTTCTCCTCCTCCTCCTAGCTCCTCGTCCTCCTCCCTTACCCTTCTTGAGCACCGGGGGGTGAGAGGACGGAGCCGCCCCCGCTGGGAGATCGGTGTCAGCTTCGGCTCGTGTCGGACGTGCGGGCGAACGAAGCCGTGCGCGGGTGAGAGGCCAGGTCCTTGCCTAGCTGAGGGGGGGCACTCGGTGGCTGGCTTGTCCCGCGGTTGTCCCGCGGTTGTCGCGGTGGCTCGGGTCGTCCCGCGGTTGTCCCGTGGTTGTCCCGCGGATATCCCGCTAGATTAGCTCGAAACGTTAACGCTCGGGCACTGTGATGTCGTTAGCGCGTTGCGCCGCAGCGTGGTGGGACAGAACCGGCGCCGCGACAAGCTAAGCACAATATTCAGACCGTAGGGCCACGGAGAAGCATGATCGACCCCCGAACCCCGAAAGGAATAATTCGCCGGCCCAACGGGCCAGGGCGTGCTAAGATCTCCGGCAACTGGTTAACAGTATTAACAGTATTTCTAGTTCGCGCGCGCGGGGCGGCCCCTGGGGGTCCCCCGGCGAAAAGTACCCCGACCAACGCCCGGTCGCCGCCCGACCGCCGCCCGACCGCCGCCCGACCAAGTCTACTCAGAGATGGTTTTCCTTCTGGGTGCGGCCTCTCAGGCTCCCCAGAGCGCGCTCAGAGTGCCCCAAGAGGCCCCCAAGACTGCCCAAGAGGCCCCCGAGACGCCCAAAGAGCGCTCGAAGACGCCGAAGATGACCCCAAGACGGCCCAAAAGGCCCCCAAGACAGCCCAAGAGGCCTCCAAGACGCCCCAAGAGCCTTCCAAGAGGCCTCCGAAGAGAGCCCCAAGAGGCCAAAATCGTTGATTTTCATTGGTTTTTTCTATGTTTTTTGTGTTCTGGCTTTTTCGGCTTCCGGACGCTCCAAGACGGCCCAAGAGGCCCCCAAGACCGCTCCAAGACGGCCCACGAAGCTCCCAAGACGGCGCCGAAACGACCCAAGAGAGCCCTCAAGACGGCCCAAGTGCCGCCCAAGACGGACCAAGAGGCCCCAAGACGGGCCCAAGAGGGACTCAGGAGGGATACCGAGAACTCAAAAATGGAGCCCTCCGTCCCAGAAGGCGCCCAGGAGGTCCCAAAGAGGCCCCAAGAGGCCTCCAAGAGGCCCCAAGATGTCGCCAAGAGGCCCCAGGAGACTCCCAGGAGGCCCAAAAGAAGCCCCAGAAGGCTTCAAACATGTCTCCCAGGCGCCCCCGAACGGCCTCTCAACAGACCCCAAGAGGCCCCCCAAAGAAGCATCTTGACGACGACTCTATTTCGCCCCATCGAGAGACGACCCCCAGGGAACTGCTTCACCATCAAAACTCCCCACGCAACGCGTCCGAACGACACCCGCCCCCAAGAGCGCAACATGGGCAACGAACACACAGACAAAAACCAGCGATGCCATATCACGGGCCGGCGGAATGAGCGAAGCGATTCAATCATGTGAGGCATGGCGACGTTCTCAAGACACCTGATTGGGTGACGGGCACTCGCAATGCTGAACGTATCGATCTTGATGTACTAGAACCGTGCCGAGGGCTGTGCTGTGCTGCGCCGTTCTGGATTTCGATGTGCCATGCCGCGATTGTGCTCTATAGCGTTGTGGATCGAGTCCTCCTGTGCATCCGAGTCCTGACCGAACTGATCTGGATCTTAAGCTCCATCTGCCTGAGCACATAGTACCTGCCCCAGAGCTGGTTGAAGTCGAAACGTGCGGGACGTTCATTCAACTCGAGCTCAAAATCCGAGGCAGCTCCCTACAAGGACGACACGACCCAGGGCACAGGCTCACGGACGCGCCACATAATGTGCCAGGGGCACATTAGGGGATGCGCCAGGGGGCGTGTCGGGGGACGTATTAGGATACGTGCCCTGGGCGTGTCAGGGACCTGCCACGGGACGTGCCAAGGCGCGCGCCATGGGGCGGACCAAAAGGACGTCATGCTAGAGGACGTGGTAAGGGGCGCGCCACGGAACGGACAGGGGAAACGCCTTAGGACGAGCCAGGACTCGCGACAGAGGACGAGCCAGGGAATGTGCCCCGCCGAGGGACGTGCTCGAGGACGTGCCACGGCAAGTCACGCCAAAACGTCGCAGAGGACACCCCGTAGAAACGATTGTCCAACGTCGCTTCGCGCGAACACCGCGGAAAAACTGGCCCACAGTGGGCCACGCTTTGCCACGTCCCTGGGCGCCAACGCGCCAAGGGACGCCCCACGAACGGATGGGGTTGGACTTCGACGCACTCTGCCGCGACACGCGTTTCGCCAGAGACATCCTCAAGCAGTCCTGAGGCTAGACATCCGCTTGGACGACCTGGACATGTGAAAACAAGCGTCTCGCTCGAGACATCCTCAAGACATCCTGATATTAGACATCCGCCTGGGCGACCTGGGCACGGGAAGATAACTGTCTCGCCCGAGACATTCAAAACACATCTACATGTTAGAAACCCCCCTGGGCGACCTGGGCGCGTGGAAACAACCGTTTCGCCCGAGACATCCTCAACCCATCTTCACGTTAGGCATCCGCCTGGGCGACCTAGGCACGTGAACACAAGCGTGTCGCTCGAGACAACCTCAATTATTCACTGCGGGGAGCTCCACATATGTGCCGGTCATGTTTTATTTTATGCCGTAGCGAGCGTCTGTTCATGAGTGTCTGACTATAAGAGCGCGCCCATGTGGGCGACAGGTTCGACGAAGACAAGTGAACCCTCATGCCAGCGAGTGAGGACGAGTCAGAATGGAATATGAGCCTCTTCCTCCTCACTCCTCCTCCTCCTCCTCCTCCTCCTCCTCCTCCTCCTCCTCCTCCTCCTCAGCTGCCAGGCCGTGCCCTCCTCCGCCCGCGGTTGCTTCGGATATCCTCGAAGGCGTATTTGTTTTAGGGTAGTTGGCAGTGGGATCTGTAAAACGAGCGCTTAGCCACGTAAGGCCATCTGTGCATGTCATGTTGTAGGATAGTGCCACGGTGAGCATTTGTCTATAATCCGTGCGTCCCCATCCTCCGTGCGTCCCTGAGGGTACGTGCCCGAGCACGACCCAAGGGAGCAGCACGCCTCGACTCCTGCCTCGACTCCATCCTCCGTGCGTCCCAGAGGGTACGTGCCGGAACACGACCCAAGGAAACAGCAACTTGCTGGTCCCCCTTTGGGACTGCTGCTGAAACCAGCGCCGCGCCTGAGACGTCCTCCAAGTCTGCTGCAGTCGCAGACAATGTTGGGCACCAAAACAGGCAAACCGCCTGAGACATCCCCCCACACTGGCCGAAAACGGGCCCGTGATATACCCCTTGGCGGTTCCCCTCAGAAATGGTGAAGCAGCGCCCCGACGGAGACATCCTCCAAATCTGCTGTAATCGCAGACGGTGTTGGGCACTGAAACAAGCAAACCGCCTGAGACATCCCCACAAACTGACCGCGAACGGGCCCGTGATATACCCCCTGGCGGCTCCCCTTGGGAGTGCTGGAACCAGCGCCCCGACTGTGACATCCGCCGACCCCTTGTGGGTCTCTAGGCGTGTGAGATAGTTCCCCCCCCTCAACCCCCCCCCCAGGGGCCCCAAACCGGCGATTTGACCCCCCCCCCCCGGGCCGCAGACGAGCGCACCACGGGGCTCTTTGGTGCCCACAAGGGGATCAAAACGAGCCACGAAGGCCCCGAGAGGCCCCAAGACGGCCCCAAGAGGGCCTCAAGACGGGCCAAGGAAGCCTTAAGGAGCCTCGAAGACGGCTCACGAGGGTCCCGAGACGCCAAACGAACGCCCCAAGACGCCCAAGATGCGCCCCAGACGGCCCAAGAGGCCGCCAAGACGCCACAAGAGGCCTCCAAAAGCCTCCCAAAAGGCCGCCGAGAGGCCAAAATCATTCATTTTCCCTTGGTTTTCAAAGGATTTTGGCCTTCTCGCCCTTTCGGTACTCCGACGCTCCACGACGGCCCAAGAGGCCCCCAATACCGCCCCAAGACGGCCCAAGAAGCCCCCAGGACGGCCCCAAGACGGCCCAAGAGGCCCCGAAGACGGCCCAAGAGCCGCCGAAGACGGCCCAAGAGGTTCCCAATACGGGCCCCAGAGGTGCCCAAGAGGGGGACCGCGAAGTGAGAATTCGAGTCTTCCGCTTCAGGAGGCCTTCAGGAGGCCCCAAGAGGCCCCAAAGAGGCACCAAAGGGCCCCCAAGAGCCCCCTACGACGCCCCAGGAGGCCCCCGGGCGGCCCAAATGAGGCCCCAAGATGCCCCCAAACGGCCCCAAAAGCCCCCAAAACTGCCTCACAGAAGCCCCCGAAAGGCCAACCGCGAGATCGCAACCAACATCCACGAGGCCTTATACCCACAACGCAGGCACGGTGGCGGGATGTGCCGAAGGCCAGTAGGATATATTTTTTGACCGCGCAACGGCCCCACGTACACGAAGGCCTCCTGCAGTCCAATTGGCTGCGCCCCTGAGTGGACGCCCTCAAAATCCCAACTCACAGCCAGAGGAGAAGGATGTATAAGGTGATGGCCAGGGCCACATACCCGTGCGACAACAAAGCAAACAAAACAGGAAGAGGACAGGAATGCGGAGCAGAGAGAGCGACGAAGCAAGGAAGGCCGAAGGGCCAGGTAGACAGGCAGCAGCTGTTTGGGGAACCTCACCCTGGACTGACTAGGCGGGGATGTATCAAATATAATGGCACTGTGCGGGCAGCACAGCCTGAACCACTCTCGCTCGAGGAGTTGGACAGCAGATTGGCGTCCACGCAACTGAACTTCAAAAACAAGAAGACGATCATGCGCCACTCGATAGCATTTCAAAAAGAGGAGGGGGAGGAGGGCCGCCCCCGAAAGGAGGACAGGAAAGAGAGAGAGAGAGAGAGAGAGAGAGAGAGAGAGAGAGGGCGAGACCCAGACCTCCAGAAAAGGTCGAGGAAGAAAAAAGGGGAGGGGGAAGAATGGCAGGAGAAGGGGAAGGAGGAAAAGGACGAGAAGCAAGACGGGGAGGAGGATGACGAGGACGAGGAGGAGGAAAAACCGGAGGAGAGAAGGAGGGGGGGAGGAGGAAAAGTGCGGGAGGAAACCGCGGCTCCGACCCCGCCAGCGGCGCGCGGCCGCAGCCCCAGAGGAAAGGGGGAAGCCAGGGCTCGCGCCGAACAACGCTGTCTGTCCTCCTCTCCCTGGCCAGCTCTCGCTTTTGCTCTGCTCCGTTCGTTTTCCCACATCCCCCCTCCCCTTTATCCCCCTCCCCTTCCATCCTCCTCCTCCTTTTCCTCCCCCTCCCCCTCCCCCTCCCCCCCCTCCTCCCCCTCCCTCCTCCGCCACCCCCCGGCCGCAGCCTGTCACAGATGATTTTCCCCCTGGGCGCGTGCCCCCGACGGCGTTCCAATCGGGCCCCAAGAGACCCCCCCCCCCCCAGACGGCCCAAACGAGTTCCGACTCACCGAACGACGCATTGGGCATCATGTGCAAGTCTTGCATTTCAGGGTGCCCTTTTTGGCATCGCGCGCGACATGGGCTGGGTTCACGGCGAACGCCGACTTCGGTAGTCTTCTCTTGCACGCGCCACTGCACTGATACGCCTGGCAACTGCGCGCTGTGAACCCGAGTTCCTTGCAACCTCCGCACACCACTTTCGCTCCTTTCGCAGCTCGATGTTCTTTTACTTGGTTGTGCTTCAAATGTGTCGTGTTCGAGAACGCTCCTCCGCACGCCGCGCACGTCAGCGGCTTCGCGTCCGCCTCCGCTTTCCGTTTGCGATTCCCTGCCTCGCAATTCGTCCGCGTAACCGTCTTCTCCCGCTCCTCCGCGCATTTCCGACAGAGCCTCTCCCCCGCAGCATTGTCTAAACTGCTTCTGCGGCGTCCCCCTTCGACCTCGTCGCACCGCCTGCCCGCCATCTCTCGCCGCTCGCCCCCCCAATGGCATCAGTATCATCAGTATCCTCATGGTCAACGAGATGGTAATCATCACTCACAACAGCATCAACATGCTCGTCATGAGAAGCAGCACAGTCGCCATCAGCACAATTACCAGCATAAGCAGCATCATCATCATCAGCAGCATCATCATCAGCATTATCATCATCATCAGCAGCATCATAATCATCAGCATCATCATCCTCATCAACATTATCATCAGCATGACCATCATCGTACTCCGCAACTGCAACATCAGCATCAGCATTGCCATCACCATTACAGATCATCACCAGCACCATCATCATCATAATCCGCCGACCCCTTGTGGGTCTCTAGGCGTGTGAGATTATCCCCCCCATAATCCCCCCCAGGGACCCGAAACCGGGAATTCGACGCCCCCCCCCTCGCCCAGCCCGACCCCGGACCGAACGCGTCACGGGGGAGCGGAGGGCTCCAAAACTTGCCAAGAAGCCACCAAAACGCTCCCCAGACGGTCCCAAGGGGCCACGATTCGCCGAAATATCGCCCTGGACGCCCACGATGGCCTCCAGGCGGCCTCCGAAGCTGCCAAGACGCCCCAAAAGGCTCCAAAATGCGCCCCAAGAGAGTCCCAGGAAACAAAAATCGCCCCATTCCCTTCGAAAAAACAACATGTGTCGCATGTTCGCCTGCTCGGTTTTCACAACGTCCCAGACGGGCAGAGAAACCTTCAATATCGCCCCAAGACGGCCAAAGGGGCCCCCAAGAAGGGTCGAAGAGAAGACCCCAAGACAACCCAAGAGGGCCCCCAGACGGCTCCAAGACGGAGCCCAGAGGGCACCTTTTCGAGCCTTCGGCCCCAAGACGCCCCCAGCCTGCCCCAATAACAACCCAAGAGGCCCTGAGGGCCCCCAAGAGACCCTCAAAGGCCTCCAAGAAGCCCCCAGGAAGCCCCCAAGAGGCCCCAAAACTTGGCCCAAGATGCCTCGAGGCGGCCGGATATGGCCTGCAGACAGGCCAAGATGCCACCAAAAGGCCGCAAAAGAGCACCAACAGATACGATAACAGCAACGAGGCAACAGGAACGATGTCGAGTGCCGTGTCCTGATTCGGACAAGCCTCGTGAAATGCAGTCCTGGAGGCGCAGTAGTTTATATAGGGGTCGGCGGATGTGGCGTAAGCCTATAGAATCTTCCAAACCTGCTGCAATCACACACGATGTTGGGCACCGAAGCGGGCAAACCGCCTGAGACATCCCCACAAGCTGGCCGCGAACGGGCCCGTGATATACCCCTTGGCGGCTAGCCGTAGGAGTGCTGAAACCAGCGCCCCGACTGTGACATCCTCCAAACCTGCTGTAGACGCAAACGATGGTGGGCACCGAAACAAGCAAACCGCCTGAGACATCCCCACAAACTGGCCGCGAACGGTCCCGTGATATACCCCCTGGTGGCTCCCCTTAGGGGTGCTGAAGCCAGCGCCCCGCCTGAAACATCCTCAAAATCTGCGGTGTATTGACTAATTCACACGATGAGAAGGTCTGAGCATGTGTAGGTCTGAGTATGCGCAACTCTGTGTATGAGCACGTCTGGGTATGAGTAAATCTGAGTATGAGTAAGTCTGTGTATGAGTAAGTCAGTGTATGTGTACGTCTGGGTATGGGTGAATCTGAAACAAACACCCCGGCTGGCACATCCTCCAAATCTGCTGTAAACGCAAACGATGTTGGGCACAAACAGGCACACCGCCTGAGAAAACCCCACGAACTGGCCGCGAACGGGCCCGTGATGTACCACCTGGCGGCTCCCCTTAGGAGTGCTGAAACCAGCGCCCCGACTGAGACATCCTTTACATATGCTGTAATCGCACACGATGTCGGGCACCGAAACAGGCAAACCGCCTGAGACATCCCCACAAACTTGCCGCGAACGGGGCCGTGATATACCCCCTGGCGGCTCACCGTAGGAGTGCTGAAACCAGCGCCCCGACCGTGAGATCCTCCAAATCTGCTGTAATCGCAGACGGAGTTGGGCACCGAAACAAGCAAATGCCTGAGACATCCCCACAAACTGGCCGCGAACGGGCCCGTGATATACCCCCTGGCGGCTCCCCTTTGCGATGTTGGAACCAGCGCCCCGCCTGAGACATCCTTTACATATGCTGTAGACGCAGAGGATGTTGGGCACCGAAACGGGCAAACCGCCTGAGACATCCCCACAAACTTGCCGCGAACGGGCCCGTGATACCCCTGGCGGCTCCCCTCAGGGGTGCTGAAGCCAGCGCCCCGCCTGAGACACCCCCAAATTCAGCTGTGTATTCGATACCTCACACTATGAACAGGTCTGAGTATGTGTAGGTCTGAGTATGCGCAAGTCTGTGTATGAGCACGCCTGGGTATGAGTAAGTCTGAGTATGAGTAAGTCTGTGTATGAATAAGATTGTGTATGTGTACGTCTGGGTATGCATAAGTCTGAAACCAGCGCCCCCGCTGGCACATCCTCCAAATCTGTTGTAATCGCAGACGATGTTGGGCACCGAAACAAGCAAACCACCAGAGACATCCCCGCAAACTGGCCGCGAACGGGCCCGTGGTATACCCCCTGGCGGCTCCCCTTAGGAGTGTTGGAACCAGCGCCCCGACTGAGACGTCCTCCAAATCTGCTGTAATCGCAAACGATGTTCGGCACCGAAACAGGCAAACCGCATGAGAAAACCCCACGAACTGGCCGCGAACGGGCCCGTGATGTACCCCCTGGCGGCTCCCCTTAGGAGTGCTGAAACCAGCGCCCCGCCTGAGACATCCTCCAAATCTGCTGTAATCGCGAACGGTGTTGGGCACCGAAACAGGCAAACCGCCTGAGACATCCCCACAAACTTGCCGCGAACGGGCCCGTGATATATCCCCTGGCGGCTCCCCTCAGGGGTGCTGAAGCCAGCGCCCCGCCTGCGACATCCTCAAAATCTGCCGTGTGTTGAGTAAATCACTCTGAGAAGGTCTGAGTATGTGCAGGTCTGGGTATGAATAAGTCTGTGTATGAGTACGGCTGTGCATGAATAAGTCAGAGTATGAGTCGATCTGTATGAGTAAGTCAGTGTATGTGTACGTCTGGGTATGAGTGAGTCTGAGTATGAGTAGGTCTGAGTATGGGGTAGTCTGAGTATGAGTAAGCCTGTGTATGCGTAAGTATTTGTATGAGTAAGTCTGGGTATGAGTAAGTCTGTGTCTGAATACTTCTGGGCATGAGTACGTCTGAGTATGAGTAAGTATGTGCATGAGTAGCTCTGTTTTCTGGGTGTGAGCTTGTTGACTGGAGTCGGCGGCGTCCAAGAAATAACAAGATACCAATCTTAGGAGATGGGGAACAAATGACCATGTCAGACATCCGCCTGAACGACCTGGACACCTAAAGCACGTGATCCCAGCTCGGGTCAACCATGTTAGATACACCCCTTCTGGGCGGGCTGAACATGTAACATGATCGACCCACAAACCCTGAAAGGAATATAGAACTGTACCACATGGCAGCGTTTTCAAAGACACCTGATTGGGTGACGGGCAAATGCAATGCTGAATGTATCGGTCTTAATGTACCCTGCCGAGGGCTGTGCTGTGCTGCACCGTGCTGAATTGTGATGTGCCATGCCGCGAGTGTGCTCTATAGCGTCGTGGATCGAATTCTCCTTTGCATCCGAGTCCTGACCGAACTGATCTGGATCTTAAGCTCAAGCTGCCTGAACACATAGTAGCTGCCCCAGAGCTAATGGATAGGGGAACATGCCAGGAGGACGCGCCGCGAAACGTCCCAAGGGATGCGCCAAGCGACGTGCCAAGGGACGTGCCATGGGGTCGCACCGCGGGACGTGCCAGGGGGACGCGCTACGGAACGTGCCAATGGATGTGCCACGGGATGTGCCAAGGGACGCGCCACGCGACGTGCCAGGGGGACTCGCCAAGGGACACCCCACGGAACGTGCCAAGTTGCAATGCTGAGTGTATCGGTCTTGATGTACCGTGCCGAAATCTGTGCTGTGCTGCACCGTGCTGAACTGCGATGTGCCATGCCGCGAGTGTGCTCTATAGCGTCGTGGATCGAGTCCTCCTTTGCATCCTGATCTGGATTTTAAGCTCGAGCTGCCTGAACACATAGTAGCTGCCCCAGAGCTAATTGACAGGGGGACATGCCAGGAGGACGCGACGCGGAACGTCTCAAGGAACGCGCCAAGCGACGTGCCAAGGGATGTGCCATGGGGACGCACCGCGGGACGTGCCAAGGGGACGCGCTACGCAACGTGCTGGGGACAAGCGTTTCGCTCGAGACATCCTATCAAAATTCGAAGAAATCATTGCAAAACAAGCGAGTTAGTCGAGACATCCTCGAAATTCCTGCGCGCGGGACGCGGCACGCGCGAGACATCCTCGGAATTCCTGCGAGCGGGACGTGAAAACAAGCATTTTGCATGAGACATCCTTCGAATTCCAGCCCCCCCCAAGAGGCCATCCTCAAAATTCCGACCCTGCGCGCGGGACGCGGCACGCGCGAGACATCCTCGGAATTCCTCTGAGCGGGACGTGAAAACAAGCATTTCGCTTGAGACATCCTTTGAATTCTGGCCCCCCACGAGGCCCCCGCTCGAGACATCCTCCAATTTTGCAAAACCAGCGTTTCGCTGGAGAAATCCTCAACAAATTATGAACAACCATTTCGCTCGAGACGTCCCATCACAATTCAAAGAAATCCTGGCACAACAAGCGAATTAGCCGAGACATCCTTGAAATTCCTGCGCGCGGGACGCGGCACGCGCGAGACATCCTCTGAATTCCTGCGCGCGGGGTGCTTTTCCGCGTCGCGGTCGGGGCTCGAGACTCCGGTCTTTGTTGAGGATTCTGCGAAAAATGCCCCGCCTTTTTTTTAACGAAGGAAAGCGGTGGTCCGCTGACCCCGTTATCGATCGAGGATCCGGGATGGGGGGTCGACTTTCCTCGAGCGGGCACGCGCGAAACGCATTTGTTCACGCCGAATTTGACTTTATACAAATTTGAATTAAAACATAATTCCGCCGGCCCCCTTCTGGGGAGGGAATAAGCCTACTAAAAAGAAAACCATGGGCCCACGCCCTTTCCGGGAAAAACAAACGTTTCGCTCGAGACATCCTGTCAAAATCCAAAGAAATCCTTGCAAAACAAGCAAATGAGTCGAAGTATCCTCAAAAATCCTGCGCGCGGGACGCGACACGCGCGAGACATCCTCGGAATTCCTGCGAGCGGGGCGCTTTTCCGCGTTCGCTCGGACATCCTCAACAAACTATGAAAACAAACATCGCTCGAGACATCCTGCCAAAATTCAAGGAAATCCTCGAAAAGCATGATCGACCCACGAACCCGGAACGGAATATAGAAATGTAAGGCATGGCAACGTTTCAAAGACACCTGATTGGGCGACGGGCCAATGCAATGCTGAGTGCATCGATCTTGATGTACCGTGCCGAGGGCTGTGCTGTGCTGCGCCGTGCTGAACTGCGATGTGCCATGCCGCGATTGTGCTCTATAGCGTCTTGGATCGAGTCCTCCTTTGCATCCGAGTCCTGGCCGAACTGATCTGGATCTTAAGCTCGAGCTGCCTGAACACATAGTAGCTACCCCAGAGCTAATCGACGGGGGAACATGCCAGGAGGACGCGCCGCGAAACGCCCCAAGGGACGCGCCAAGCGACGTGCCAGGGGACGTGCCATGGGGTCGCACCGCGGGACGTGCCAGGGGGACGCGCTACGGAACGTGCCAATGGATGTGCCACGGGATGTGCCAGGGGACGCGCCACGCGACGTGCCAGGGGGACTCGCAAAGGGACGCCCCAGGGAACGTGCCGAGGAACGTGCCAAAGTGCAATGCTGAGTGTATCGGTCTTGATGTACCGTGCCGAGGGCTGTGCTGTGCTGCGCCGTGCTGAACTGCGATGTGCCATGCCGCGATTGTGCTGTATAGCCTCGTGGATCGAGTCCTCCTTTGCATCCGAGTCCTGACCGAACTGATCTGGATCTTAAGCTCGAGCTGCATGAACACAGAGTAGCTGCCCCAGAGCTAATTGGCAGGGGGACATGCCAGGAGGACGCGACGCGGAACGTCTCAAGGAACGCGCCAAGCGACGTGCCAAGGGAAGTGGCATGGGGACGCACCGCGGGACGTGCCAAGGGGACGCGCTACGGAACGTGCTGGGGACAAGCGTTTCGCGCGATACATCCGGTCAAAATCAAAAGAAATCCTGGAAGAAGAAACAAATTCGTCTAGACAATCCGCCGACCCTGTCGGCGTGTGTGAGGGGCTTTTCCGTTCGAGCCGTCATCTCCGTCATTCTTTGTAATCGTCGTCTCTGTCGTTCCCTTTCCCTGGTACCCCTCTTCCCCTGGGCTCCTCCCCGCTCCCCTCGCCCTTTCCCAGGGCCTCCTCCTCAAGCGCGCTAGCCAAACCGACCTTCAGCAACGTCGTAATTGATTCGAAGGGAAGCCCCTTCCCTTTCCCTTCCCCGACGGGGGGGGGAGGGGGGGTCCCGGGGGGGGTCCCGGGGGAGTCCCGGGTCAGATACGACGGCCCCCCCGTACCGACCTTGAGCAACGTCGTAATTGAGTCGAAGGGAAGCCCCTTCCCTTTCCCTTCCCCGACGGGGGGGGGAGGGGGGGTCCCGGGGGGGGTCCCGGGGGAGTCCCGGGTCAGATACGACGCCCCCCCCCCGTACCGACCTTGAGCAACGTCGTAATTGAGTCGAAGGGAAGCCCCTTCCCTTTCCCTTCCCCGACGGGGGGGGGAGGGGGGGTCCCGGGGGGGGTCCCGGGGGAGTCCCGGGTCAGATACGACGCCCCCCCCCCGTACCGACCTTGAGCAACGTCGTAATTGAGTCGAAGGGAAGCCCCTTCCCTTTCCCTTCCCCGACGGGGGGGGGAGGGGGGGTCCCGGGGGGGGTCCCGGGGGAGTCCCGGGGAAGTCCCGGGTCAGATACGACACCTCCCTCCCCCACCTTCTCGTCCTTCTCCCCGTTCCCCAAAACCATCCCACAGCCCGTGCCTCTTGCTGCGCATTGCGAACAGGGTCGGCGGCACCGGCCGTAAGGCCTTCGCAATCCTGGAAGAAGAAACAAATTCGTCTAGACATCCTCAAAAATCCTGCGCGCGGGACGCGGCACGCGCGAGACATCCTCGGAATTCCTGCGAGCGGGACGTGAAAACAAGCATCTCGCCTGAGACATCCTTTTAATTCTGGCCCCCCACGAGGCCCCCGCTCGAGACATCCCCAAGGAAGCAGGCGCAGACGCGCGCGCGCGGCCGCAGGGCGCGGCCGCGGGGACGACCGGAAACTTTACTTGAGCCATGTCACTATCCATGCCACTCAATCGATATCACTATCGATATCCCGATTGATCTCCATACCAATATCACAGTCGATCTCATTATCGATCTCACTGTCCATGCCACTCAATCGATCTCAGTATCTGTATCGATCCCATTGTCGAACAGTCGATCAATCGAACGATCGCTCTCACGATCGATCAGACCCCATCGATGTCACAAACCATCCCATTATCGATATTGCTATCGAATCTCACAATCGGACTAACTTAGTCGACCTCACTGCCACTCTCACTATCGATCTCGCTATCGATCCCACTCACGATTTCACTCAAGGTATCTCACCATCGATATCACTAGTGATCTCACGATCGGCCTTTACCACAGCATAGCATATAGCACAGCACGGGACACCCGCGCGCCACGGGACACCAAGGGAGAGAGAGAGAGAGAAAGAGAGAGAGAGAGAGAAAGACAGAGAGACAAGAAAAAGACGGAGAGAGAAATAATCACATAATGACTCGACTAGGCTATAACGTATACTCAAACTAGACTAGGGCGGGGAGAAGACCGATCGATGCACCTGCAAACAGTTCGAACATCCACTGATTGGGGTCTTCATTGGTGTATGTGTTAAGCACAAGCCGCACGAATGACGGAGGAGAGAACACCATGGCTGGAGGCTGTAACGAAATCGCGACAGCCCGGCGAAGCACTGCCTTAGCGGGATACACCCCTCACTCCGGCGTGAAGCCGGGCAGAGCGAGTGAGAAGCAGACCACAGAAAGCCCTCGCCAACGCTGAGCGACAGGAACCTGGCATCACTTCGGAGCTATCTTCAATATGTTCATGCACATGCGCGCAATCTTGTCCAGCGGGTTGGGCGAATACTGGGTGCGCTTGTGGTGGCAATAGTCCAGGAAGATCTCCTTCCATTCGTGAGAGTTGGTGATCTTGCCTATGTAGACGCCGAAGCAGAGGGATGAGAAGCCCGCCAGAGTGACAGAAGGCCAGAGCCAAGTCTGCACGTACGGCACCATCTTCACCTCTCCGTCTTTGCCCATCCTCCTTAGACAAGTTTGCTGAAACGACAGCGGAGGAGCTTGCTGGAACGGCGTTGGCCCAAAAACTCGAGCCTCGTCTGAGCCAAGCAGGCTACTGAAACAGTGTGCATTCTTCCAATCTCGCCGCCCTGGTGGCTGTAGCCAGAACCTGCCTGAGACTGCGGGCTGGCTTCACTGCTGGGCAACTCTGCAGCTTGCCTTTCTCTGTGAACTGGGTCCCCCGCAGTCTTGAGCCATCTCGGCGCACTCTTGGAGAGCCAGGGGAAGCGGGACAAAGCGGGACTCCAACTCGCAATGAGATGCGGGGCCAGGTTGTCTATGGGGGGGAATAAGCGCCCCACGCTCTGGTACATTACGGATATGCGGCTACCAACGCAAACTGGGATAAGCAACCCCGATACATGCACACATGGGGAGGAACCGAGACAGAGAGACAGAGGGAGAGAGAGAGAGAGAGAGGGACTTCCAACGACGTCCGTGCGGACAAACACAGATAACGGGCACGGGCATGTGTGGCAAATGCAGTCAACAAATGCAGTCAACAACGTCAGTCAACACCACTGGAGCTCTCTGGTGCCGCTTCTCGAGAATCGCGCCCGCAAGCGTGCCCCCAACACACCGAGCAAGATCTGGCCACCGGGACAATACAGTTATACTGTTGGTGAGCGCTCCCGCCGCCCCCTCTAACGACAACGAGAATACCCCCATGGAGAGAACACGTGAGTACGGCAAGGGCGAGTCAGCCCTGTCTATTCCCTAGGAGGTAGAAGGTTGAACGGGGCTGGGGGTCGGAGTAGAGGAAGGGGGAACGTGGGGAACGCTGGCTGTACAGGCACCGGCGAGTCTGGTGGAAATCACGCGGGGCCCAAACGCGAGAAAGGATCTGCCATCGACGCTGGTGGAAGTCAATCAGGGCCCAAACGCCATCTGATATGAGCGGCATCTTGGAGGGCCCCCTCATCACGCCGTACACGTCGTTCATTTCTAATCGTGCTCATTTCTTCATTGTGCTCGTTTCTAATTGTTCCTGGCCCCCCGATTAGAAGTGACAGGATCCTAGCCCCCCAGAAAATCAAAGAACTTTCGAATACTTAGAAATGAGCATTGTGTACCCCCTCCACAAAATGTACAGCACCCTCCGTATGCCTGGCCAAGAGGGTGGAGGCGGCCGTGGGGTTTGCACTCGTTGGGACCCCACGGTCTCGGTCAGGAGCGAAGAATGGGGCCGAATTTAAGTCGGGCCTGTCCCCCTACAGGGGGATGTTGGAGGACAATATGTAAAAAAAAAAAAAAACATGATCGATCCACGAACCTGGAAAGGAATATAGAACTGTAACACATGGCAGCGTTTTCAAAGACACCTGATTGGGTGACGGGCAAATGCAATGCTGAGTGTATCGATCTTGATGTACCCTGCCGAGGGCTGTGCTGTGCTGCGCCGTGCTGAATTGCGATGTGCCATGGCGCGATTGTGCTCTATAGCCTCGTGGATCGAGTCCTCCTTTGCATCCGAGTCCTGACCGAACTGATCTGGATCTTAAGCTCGAGCTGCCTGAACACATAGTAGCTGCCCCAGAGCTAATGGACAGGGGGACATGCCAGGAGGACGCGCCGCGAAACGTCCCAAGGGATGCGCCAGGCGACGTGCCAGGGGACGTGCCATGGGTCGCACCGCGGGACGTGCCAAGGGGACGCGCTACGGAACGTGCCAATGGATGTGCCACGGGATGTGCCAGGGGACGCGCCACGCGACGTGCCAGGGGGACTCGCCAAGGGACGCCCCACGGAACGTGCCAAGGAACGTGCCAAATTGCAATGCTGAGTGTATCGATCTTGATGTACCGTGCCGAGGGCTGTGCTGTGCTGCGCCGTGCTGAATTGCGATGTGCCATGGCGCGATTGTGCTCTATAGCCTCGTGGATCGAGTCCTCCTTTGCATCCGAGTCCTGACCGAACTGATCTGGATCTTAAGCTCGAGCTGCCTGAACACATAGTAGCTGCCCCAGAGCTAATGGACAGGGGGACATGCCAGGAGGACGCGCCGCGAAACGTCCCAAGGGACGCGCCAAGGCGACGTGCCAGGGGACGTGCCATGGGGTCGCACCGCGGGACGTGCCAAGGGGACGCGCTACGGAACGTGCCAATGGATGTGCCACGGGATGTGCCAGGGGACGCGCCACGCGACGTGCCAGGGGGACTCGCCAAGGGACGCCCCACGGAACGTGCCAAGTGAGTGTGACGTGAATCTTCTGAATTCCTGCGAGCGGGACGTGAAAACAGGCATTTCGCCTGAGACATCCTCTGAATTCTGGCCACCCACGAGGCCCCCGCTCGAGACATCCCCCAATTTTGCAAAGCCAGCGTTTCGCTCGAGACATTCTCAACAAATTCTGATAAACAAGCGTTTCGCTCGAGACATCCGGTCAAAATCCAAAGAAATCCTCGCCAAACAAACGAATTTGTCGAGACATCCTCAAAAGTCCTGCGCGCGGGACGCGGCACGCGCGAGACATCCTCGGAATTCCTGCGAGCGGGACGTGAAAACAGGCATTTCGCTCGAGACATCCTCTGAATTCTGGCCACTCCACGAGGCCCCCGCTCGAGACATCCCCCCAATTTTGCAAAACCAGCGTTTCCCTCGAGACATCCTCCTCAAACTATGTAAAACAAGCGTTTCGCTCGAGACATCCTGCCAAAATTCTAAAAAATCCTTACAACACAAGCTAATTAGTGGAGACATCCTCGAAATTCCTGCGCACGGGACGCGGCACGCGCGAGACATCCTCGGAATTCCTGCGCGCGGGGCGCTTTTCCGCGTCGGGGTCGGGGCTCCAGACCCCGTTATTTGTCGAGGATTCTGCGAAAAACGCTCCGCACCCTCTTTTTTTACGAGGGAAAACGAGGGTCTGCGGACCCCGTTTTTTATCGAGGATCCGAGATGCGGGGCGCACTTTCCTCGAGCAACGCACTTTTTCAAAATTACACTACACCCGCGCTCCCAGGGCCACGATCCCTCGTAAATTACGCTACGTCAGCGCTCCCAGGGCCACGATCCCTCGTAAGGGCTCCTGGGCCCTCCTGGGTCTTCCTTGGACCTCTTGGGCCCTCCTGGGCTCTCCTGGAGCCTCCTGGAGCTTCTCCTGGGCCCTCCTTGGGCCCCCTGGTGCCTCTTGGAGCCTCCTGGGTCCTCCTGGGCCCTCCTGGGCTCTCCTGGGCCCTCCTGGGCTCTCCTGGGCTCTCCTGGAGCCTCCTGGGCCCTCCTGTGCGAAGTCAAGGTCCGAAAACACATGGGACTTGCCACATTTCTGAAATTCGGTGCCACCCCTCACGCAGGTCGGCGGGGTCAGGATCCGAAAACACAGGGGATTTGCCACATTTCTGGAATTCCGTGCCACCCTTCACGCAGATCGGCGGGGTCAGGGTCCAAAAACACAGGGGATTTGCCACATTTCTGGAATTCCGCGCCACCCCTCACGCAGATCGGCGGGGTCAGGGTCCAAAAACACATGGGATTTGACACATTTCTGGCATTCCGTGCCACACCTCACGCAGATCGGCGGGGTCAGGGTCAAAAAACATATGGGATTTCTGCGATTTCCGAACTTATGCAACTTCAAGAATCCAAAACTCCGTTCCCAGCGCCGTTCCGGAGGCCGCGGTACCTCGTTATTTATCGATCGAACGCGTTTACATCGTCTTTTATAGTTTAAAGTCGATGTCGGAAAAAAGTGGACGTCACCTCTGAAATATCGAGGTTTCCTTAAAGGCAGTAAAATTCCAAGAGCACGATCTGCGTAAGGGGTGGCGAAAAATTGTCTTCCTCACAATTGAAATCCGCCGGCCCCCTTCGACATCGTAATTTATCGCACAAGAATTCCGCCGGCCCCCTTCAAGTAAAAACCGGGGGTAAACCAACTAAAAGAGAACCCTGGGCCCAGGCCCTTTCCGGTAACAAAAAATACAAATGATCGACCCACGAACCCGGAAAGGAATATAGAAATGTAACGCGTGGCAGTGTTTTCCAAGACACCTGATTGGGTTACGGGCAAATGCAATGCTGAGTGTATCGAGCTTGATGTACCCTGCCCAAGGCTATGCTGTGCTGCGCCGTGCTGAATTGCGATTGCCATGCAGCGATTGTGCTCTATAGCGTTGTGGATCGAGTCCTCCTTTGCATCTGAGTCCTGACCGAACTGATCTGGATCTTAAGCTCGAGCTGCCTGAACACATAGTAGCTGCCCCAGAGCTACAGGGGGACATGCCAGGAGGACGCGACGCGGAACGTCTCAAGGGACGCGCCAGGCGACGTGCCAAGGGACGTGCCATAGGCACGCACCGCGGGACGTGCAAAGGGGACGCGCTGCCGAACGTGCTGGGGACAAGCGTTTCGCTCGAGACATCCTGCGAACATGATCGACCCACGAACCCGGAAAGGAATATAGAAACGTAACGCGTGGCAGCGTTTTCAAAGACACCTGATTGGGTGACGGGCACATGCAATGCTGAGTGTATCGATCTTGATGTACCGTGCCGAGGCCTGTGCTGTGCTGCACCGTGCTGAATTGCGATGTGCCATGGCGCGGTTGTGCTCTATAGCGTCGTGGATCGAGTCCTCTTTTGCATCCGAGTCCTGACCGAACTGATCTGGATCTTAAGCTCGAGCTGCCTGAACACATAGTAGCTGCCCAGAGCTAATGGACAGGGGGACATGCCAGGAGGACGCGCCGCGAAACGTCCCAAGGGATGGCGCCAGGCGGCGTGCCAGGGGACGTGCCATGGGGTCGCACCGCGGGACGTGCCAAGGGGACGCGCTACGGAACGTGCCAATGGATGTGCCACGGGATGTGCCAGGGGACGCGCCACGCGACGTGCCAGGGGGACTCGCCAAGGGACGCCCCACGGAACGTGCCAAGTTGCAATGCTGAGTGTATCGATCTTGATGTACCGTGCCGAAATCTGTGCTGTGCTGCGCCGTGCTGAATTGCGATGTGCCATGCCGCGATTGTGCTCTATAGCCTCGTGGATCGAGTCCTCCTTTGCATCCGAGTCCTGACCGAACTGATCTGGATCTTAAGCTCGAGCTGCCTGAACACATAGTAGCTGCCCCAGAGCTAATTGACAGGGGACATGCCAGGAGGACGCGACGCGGAACGTCTCAAGGGACCCGCCAAGCGACGTGCCAAGGGACGTGCCATGGGGACGCACCGCGGGACGTGCCAAGGGGACGCGCTACGGAACGTGCTGGGGACAAGCGTTTCGCTCGAGACATCCTGCCAACATCCTCAGAATTCCTGCGCGCGGGACGCGGCACGCGCGAGACAACCTCGGAATTCTTGCGAGCGGGACGTGAAAACAACCATTTCGCCAGAGATATCCTCTGAATTCTGGACCCCCACGAGGCCCCCCACGAGGTCCCCGCTCGAGACATCCCCCAATTTTGCAAAACCAGCGTTTCGCTCGAAACGTCTTCAACAAATGAAAGACAAGCATTTCGCTCGAGACATTCTGCAAAAGTTCAAGGAAATCCTAGCAAAACAAACGAATTAGTCGAGACATCCTCGAAATTCATGCGCGCGGGACGCGGCACGCGCGAAACATCATCGGAATTCCTGCGCGAGGGGCGCTTTTCCGCGTCGCGGTCGGCTCTGCAAAACCAGCGTTTCGCGCGAGACATCCTCAACAAATTCTGAACACAAGCGTTTCGCTCGAAACATCCCCAACTCTGCAAAACCAGCGTTTCGCTCGAGACATCCTCAACAAAATCTGAAAAACAAGCGTCTCGCTAGGGACATCCTCAAAAATAATTCCGCCGGCCCTACTCCCGCACGTAATTTATCGCAGAATAATTTCGCCGGCCCAAGTCGCAGGGGGGCCGGGGGGTTAACCTACTAAAAGAGAACCCTGGGCCCGCGCCTTTTCTGGGAAAATCCTCAGAATTCCTGCGCGCGGGACGCGGCACGCGCGAGACATCCTCGGAATTCCTGCGAGCGGGACGTGAAAACAAGCGTTTTGCTTGAGGCATCCTGTGAATTCTAGCTCCCCACGGGGCCCCCGCTCGAGGCATCCCCCAATTTTGTAAAACCAGCGTTTTGCTCGAGACGTTCTCAACAAATTATAAGCATGATGGACCCACGAACCCGGAAAGGGATATAGACATGTGAAGCATGGTCACGTTTTCACGATACCCAACTGGGCGACACCTCACGAAACATCCCACGAGACACTCCGCGAAACATCCCACGAGACACCTCACGAAACATTCCACGAGACACCTCACGAAACATTCCACGAGACACCCCGTGAAACACTCCACGAGACACCCCACGAACAGGCAACCACTCAACCAGACACCCCACGAAACATTCCACGGGGGTGCGACTGGGTGTGGTCGTGCTGGGGCGTGGTCGTGCTGGGGCGTGGTCGTGCTGGGGGGTGGTCGTGCTGGGGGGTGGTCGTGCTGGGGGGGTGGTCGTGCTGGGGGTGGTCGTGCTGGGGCGTGGTCGTGCTGGGGCGTGGTCGTGCTGGGGCGTGGTCGTGCTGGGGTGTGGTCGTGCTGTGGTGAGGTCGTGCTGGGGTGTGGTCGTGCTGGGGTGTGGTCTTGCTGGGGTGGGGTCGTGCTGGGGTGTGGTCGTGCTGGGGTGTGGTCGTGCTGGGGTGTGGTCGTGCTAAGGAGTGGTCGTGCTGGGGTGTGGTCGGGCTGCGGTGTGGTCGTGCTGGGGCGTGGTCGTGCTGAGGTGTGGTCGTGCTAGGGTGGGGTCGTGCTGGAGTGGGGTCGTGCTGGGGTGTGGTCGTGCTGGGGTGTGGTCGTGCTGGGATGTGGTCGTGCTGGGGCGTGGTCGTGCTGGGGTGGGGTCGTGCTGGGGTGGGGTCGTGCTGGGGTGTGGTCGTGCTGGGGTGGTCCGCACCCTGTGATTTATCGATCGGGTCGTGCTGGGGTGTGGTCGTGCTGGGGTGTGGTCGTGTCGTGCTGGGGTGTGGTCGTGCTGGGGTGTGGTCGTGCTGGTCGTGCTGGGGCGTGGTCGTGCTGGGGTGGGGTCGTGCGTGCTGGGGTGTGGTCGTGCTGGGGTGGTCCGCACCCTGTGATTTATCGATCGGGTCGTGCTGGGGTGTGTCGTGCGTGCTGGGGTGTGGTCGTGCTGGGGTGTGGTCGTGCTGGGGTGTGGTCGTGCTGGGGTGTGGTCGTGCTGGGGCGTGGTCGTGCTGGGGCGTGGTCGTGCTGGGGTGTGGTCGGGCTGCGGTGTGGTCGTGCTGAGGTGGCCCGCACCCTGTGATTTATCGATCGAGATTTCAAAAACAAGCGTTTCGCCTGAGACATCCTCAAATTTTAATCCGCCGGCCTCCTTCGACCTCGAAATTTATCAGGGAAAGAATCCGCCGGCCTCCTTCAAGTTGGGCACGGGGGGATATGTTTACATACTAAAAGAGAACCCTGGGCCTACGCCCTTTCCGGGAAAAAACGTTTCGCTCGAGACATCCTGTCAAAATCCAAAGAAATCCTTGCAAAACAAACGAACTAGTCGAGACATCATCAAAATTCCTGCGCGCACGCGGCACGCGCGAGACATCCTCGGAATTCCTGCGAGCGGGACGTGAAAACAACCATTTCGCCTGAGGCACCCTGTGAATTCTGGCCTCCCACGAGGCTCCCGCTCGAGGCACCCCCAAATTTTGCAAAACCAATGTTTCGCTCAAGACATCCTCAACAAATGATCAAAAAAACAAGCATTTCGCTCGAGACATCCTGCCAAACTGCAAGGGAATCCTGGCAAAACAAACGAACTAGTCGAGACATCCTCGAAATTCCTGCGCGCGGGACGCGGCACGCGCGAGACATCCTCGGAATTCCTGCGCGCGTGGCGCTTTTCCGCGTCGCGGTCGGCTCTGCAAAACCAGCGCTTCGCTCGAGAAATCCTCAACAAATTCTGAAAACAAGCGTTTCGCTCGAGACATCCCCAACTCTGCAAAACCAGCGTTTCGCTCGAGACATCCTCAACAAATGTTGAAACACAAGCGTTTCGCTTGAGACATCCTCCCAATTAATTCCGCTGGCCCACCTCGACCTCGAAAATTATCAGGAAATAATTCCGCCGGCCCACCTCCCGCATGGCACCGGGGACAGGTTTACCTACTAAAAGAGAACCCTGGGACGGAGCCCTTTCCGGGAACAACAAATGCGCAAACATAGTCCCAAAACGTACCCCGACGTTTCGTTTTAACTATTTTTGAATATTCCTCCTGTAGAGGGGCAGGCCCGACTTAAGGGCAAATCCGTTCAAAATCTGCCCCTGGACCCCTCTCGTGGTCCATCTGGCGCAGATTTTCACCCCAGATCCGCTCTGGAAAGTCCCAGGGCCCGAAAACGATCCTCGGAGGCCGAGGACTGCTCCAGGCCTCCGCGAGCCCAGAATCTCGGACCTCTCGCCCCCCCCCCGTCCTGTCCGCCAGAACCCATGCCATGGGCCACCTCTGACCCCGAGCAGGCTCCAAGGCCGCACCTTTCCCTTCCAGGGCTGCCCCTGGTGCCCCGCCGCCCCGCACGAGCCCCAGGTGCACCCAGAGCAGCCGCAGGACGCGCACGCGGCGAGGCACCCCGCCGTGCCTGACCTGCGAAGAGGCAGCGACATACCTTGCCGTGCCCAAAGGCCCCCCCCCCCGAGCTCCTGGAGCCGTGGCCCGGCCTGCCCCGCCGTGCGGAAGCCTCGCCGGCCTCCGCGGGCGGCAGCCTCCGCAGGTTGACCCCGTCGTGCATGGGCACCCGGGACTTCTCGCAGGACTCGTACAGGTGGCAGCCTCACGCTTCGGGCCCCTCTTCATTCTCTTGAGAGCACCATCGCCCTAAACTCGCTGAGGCATGCCCAAGACGGGCATACCAGGCAGGGCCGCACCCGAAAGGACAAGCCTAAACTCGTTCAGACAGGCTCAGAAGCATGCCAGGGTGCACTTCTTGGGCACGCCCAGCGACCCCACACGCACGCCTCACGTACGCAGGCATACCTTGGCCTCCCAGAGCTTGAAGGAATCAAATGAAGCCTAACCTTAGGTCGGCCGTGTCCCCCCACAGGCGGATTTTGAGGGACAAACAATCAAAACATCGTCACCATTTGTATAAAACTATGTTTGAATATTCCCCTGGCAGAGGGACAGGCCCGACTTGAGCTTAGCCTGATACGGTTGGGGCCTTTTGCTCGACGTGTCGCGGCGGCGGTGGCCCCAGCGACACGCCATGCCCTGCGAGCTGACAGCGTATCACTCCTCTCCGCGGGGCGGTGGAACGGGGAGGGCTCGGGGCAATGTGACACTCGGGGGCGGGGACGTGGTTACCGTGCAGCGCCGACGCGTGGTGGGCCAGAACTGACGCGCGACACGCTAAGCAAACGTTCCAGACCGTACCTCCCCCAACTCATGCTGAGGCACTATCTAATCCTGACCCTGGCCCAGCTGGCCCGATCCGTCCAAAAAGCACGGGGCTTCTGGTGATTCGGGGAACCAATCGACCACCCCCACCCCGAAGGATCGACGGCGATCGACAGAGCGGCGACATGGTCAGACTCTCCCAAAGCGGCAACCTCCCTGCTCGAAGTACGCGAACCAGCAGCTCGGGTCCGCTGCGCACATCTGCTGGCAGTCTTCTAGCGCCCTCACGCCCGCCCTGGTGAGTATCGTTTCACCGATCCCCATACCCAGCGGCGTGGCCTGGGCCGCACCAGTCGATCTACCCCCCAAAAGATGCGAATATAGGTCGTTCCCTTCGGGCTTCGAGGGATGTATCCCCAACTGGGGTGGTAATTTGGTGGGGGTCTCGAAGGGGATGGGGATGGGAATGGGGATTTGTTAACTCGGCGGTGGACAAACCTTCCTTGAGTAAACCTACCCTTAATTAGTAATAACGGCCTGGGACCGAAACCGACGGACCTGGACCCGCCAAAAATGACGGCCGCGACGACCTCTCGCGAACCGAAACGGCCAATTTCTTAATCGACGTGTCAGGGTAGGAGGTCTGGAGGTCCATCCACCTCCGATGAAACGATGCCGGCCTGAGGCAGGTGCCCGGCGGCACCCCGTGCGGGTGCGCCCGCAGCGACTCAGCGCAGACCTCCGCGCTCTCCGCGCAGGTGCAGAGCCTCCCCGGCTCGCAGAAGCCTGCGGGGGGGAGCTGCCGGCTGCACGTGCGCTGCCGGGCCTCGGGCCCGCCTCGGGCCCGTCGTGGGGCCTGGCCAGGATCAGGTCGGGCATGGCCCCCCTGCAGGGGGATTCGGGACGAACCATTTTCGAGAATGCTCAAAAATCGTCCCCTGACTATTTTTTGAATAATTTTCGAATGTTCCCCCTGTAGAGGGACGTAACCGACTTAAGGCTAGAAGGAGGGTCCTGGGACAGCCTGAAGGGGCACACTGGGCAAGAATTGCCATGCTGCCCCGCCTCTCGGAAAGCCCGAAACAGGTACGGGAAAAATGGGCACGATGCCCAGCAACAAGTGCCGTCCAGGACCGACAGCGGCCGCCGCTGTTGGGCACGCGACCTCTTTCTCTCGGATGGACTGCGTTTGCGGCGGCACCAGCAACGAGCCCTGTTCAAAACGGATCGGATTTGCTTTCGGTCTTTGTCCCCTTTCTTTCCGTACCCATGTCGCTTGTTCTTGGCCACTTGCCCAGTCGGCTTCTCGCAACAGTGACCCTAGGCAAGAGTGACCTTTGGTGCCCGACTTTCGGGAGCCGCGGGGAGGCCACACCCGAGAGAGCAAGACGCTGCTATCGCATCGCGTTGAGTCTTCTCGGGACACCACTGTACCCGCACCAAAGTCCGTTGAGAAATAGGAATCCGAATCGAAATCCCGGAATCGGAAGCCATCGAGATCGAATCGAACCGAATCCGAGGAGTCGTAACGAGCCCTGCAGGGTGAGGTCACTCCTGCGGAAGGTCACTCTTCCTTGTAGCCGGAAAGGCCAACGCACTCGCTGGAAGCGATAGATCTCTTGCAGCCGGGTGGGGCTGCGAGGCAGCGCTGCCTGCCAGGGGGGGTGTCTGCGCACCAGTCCTCTTGCCAGAATGGGCCTGGCCCAGTTTCGGAGGGCAGCGAAACCGGAGGACTGGCTCGGGGGGGAGGTGGAACATTCAGGGGGCAAGGTCCGAGGTCAGAAATCTGAGATGCTCCTGCTATTTCGTCGGTTCTCGGCGGTCTCCCAGCCTCTGGATGCCTTCCAGCGGCTGCGCCTCGCCGAGAGCGCTCCGATGGTGCCTGGGTCGCCCCGAACTGTGGCTCAGGGGACGGGAACATCGGTATGGAATCGGCGATACATCGCCGATAGATCGGCGAGAAGGCCCCGATAGCAGCATCCCGCGTTGTCGGGCGGGGTGGGCGATCGGCTCCCTCTCGGCGATCAGTGAACTATGGGGGGTCGATGCGTTCCCCCCTGAGCCTATCCCAAGCTAGCGTTGCCCCCGAGGCTTGGTGTCAGCACGCTAGTATTGCCAGAGGCAGCCTTCAAAATGGAACTGAATCCCCGGTTGCCCCGCGATGCCCAGCTCTGCGAGGACTGCCAGCGGAAAGACCTGAGATGTACCCCCTTCCGACACAGAAGGGGCCGCTACTCCGACGTGTGCTCTGCATCAATAAACCTTGGCGGGAATTGGTGTCAACGCATTGTTGATAATTCCGGAACCGTGGCCAGTCGTCAAAAAGATGTCGTGCCTCTCGACTTGAGCGGCACCCAGGTCGGGGACCCTGCGCATGTTGGTGCCAGCATTGGCGGGCACCCTCGAGCTGATGCACGACCGGTACATGTGGCAGCCGCCCCTCTCGAAGTATGCGAAGCGGCACGTGAGGTCCGCCACACAAGACTCGCGGCAGTCCTCCAGGGCGTGCAGGTCTCCCAAGCGGCAGGTGCCTGGGAGCAGGGCTTCTGTCACCCATGCTGTAAGCGTCGCTCCCCCAGTCTCTCAAGTTAAGATCCATCGAGACACCCTCGAAAAGGTGTTCAAGGTAGACAGAACAATGTGACAGCCACAGGCTGAGCTCAGCGTGCGCAACAGACCCCTGGTCAAGGAAGGCGACCATCACCGACGAAGTGCGAGCATCATCCTCTGAATTCGCTGCAAGGGGCTGCTCTGAACCTCTGTCCCGACACCGCTGTGGAAAATTGAACAGGCTCTGACAGAACATGCTAGTCAAGACCTATCCGCTGCCTCCTCGTCCTGCTCGTCTTGTTCCTCGTCCTCCTCATCCTTTTCTTCCTCCTACTCTAGAAGATTGAAAAATAGCGAGCCGGCTAAATCATGAAGGTCGCATCATCCACTGTTTGGGAAGACGGCTTCCACTGTAGCTGACTCGGATCGAATGTCTGAACCATGCGCTCGGCCTGCAATCGGCTTTGCTATCGTGGCGAATAGGTGTCCTTAAAACCGCTGCCTTGTTTGTCGTTTTCCACTCTGCGCTCTTGACTCGGCCAAGACGTGTAAAAAACAGCACTGGAGCGTCAGGCAAGCGTCATTGACATGTCTAAGAAGTGCTCAAAACATGTGAGCCAACGTGGACCCCAAACAGGGAGTTACTGCACTGTGTAGGTGTGTAGGTTACAGCTACATGGTGTTTGCTATGCGGTGTGCGTTGTGTGGTGCAAGCCGTGGTGTGCAAGCTGTGTTGTGTACGCAATGCATGGTGAACTATGTCGTATGAGCTATTTGAGGTGAGCAATGCTGTCTCAGCTATGCGGTGTACGCTGCGTAGCGTACGCAATGTAGTGTAAGCTATACCGTGTGAACCAGGCGGTGTGAGTTAGGCGGTGTAAGCTATGTGGGAACGGCTATGTTGCGTAAGCTATGTGGTGTGAGCTGCACGGTTTGGGCTTAGGTTGTTCAAGCTTCGTAGTGTGCTAAGTGACGATAACTACGAGGCGGAGCCCCCCAGCGGCAACGAAGCTGCAACAGGCGGCGACGCAGCGGCCACGAGGCGGCCACGGACAGCGACGCGGCGAAACCTCGGCGAGCCCTACCAACTCCCTAGCGAGAGGAGGAAGAACTCCTCACGGGCAAGCAGCGTTGGGGGAGCACTGAAAACAACAAGATAAAGGGCAAGAGGGCCACGGGCCGATCCCGATTTTCAAACCCTAAACCCTAAATTCTAGACCCTAAAATAATTGCGCCCATAATTTGTAATAAACACCTCGCTTTTCAAGATGGCACAAAACGCACTCAACGTTTTTGGGAACATCTTAGCCCCGGCGCTGCTGCAGTTGTCCCGAGGACGTGGTCGAGCTGCCGACGAGTCGATCACAGGGATGGCACGGAGCCTTCAAAGGTGTCCCAAGCAAGCGTTCCCCCAACGGCAACGCAGGCAGTAGCTCTTTACGCACTGCCTCGTCCGCCGATACGATCTCTGCCTCGAGAGCACTGTGAGGGGTAGCGGTCTGTCGTCTCGAGTTGCAGCTCTGCAGGGCCCGGGTGTTAGGTCCCCACAGCTTCTGCGCATTGGCGCTCGTGCTCCAGTGTGTGCTGAACCCCCCCCCCTGGGGCGGGGCGCCTGGGGCATGGCCCGGCTGGCCCGCGACGGACGCAGCGCAGTCCGACCCGCTCGGCAGCTCGGCGCAGGTGCACCGCTCGGCGTCACGGCAGAAGCCGCTGGGGAAGGCGTCCCGGATGTCTCGGGAGCGCCGACGAGGGGGGCACCAGGATGAAGGGGCCCTGGGACACACACATTAATACACACTAATAAAATCATGCCAGAGAAAAACCCCAATCAGGGCTAGAGGGCTAGGGGGCTATAGAGCTATAGGGCTATTGAGCTATAGGGCTATAGAGCTATAGGGCTATAGAGTTGTAGGGCTATAGGGCTATTGGGCTAGGGCACCTCCGGGCACCCTTGGGCACGCCAGGGCACCCGGGCACCCGGGCACCCGGGCACCGAGGACCCCTGGGCACCCCCCAGGGCAACCCCTGGGCACCCGGGCACCCGGGCGTGCAGCGAAAATCTGCGGCAAACCTAACCTAACCATATGAATCCGCTAGGACCCCTACAGAGGCAAGCTCTGATTGGGGAAGTATTCCCAATATTTTCTCATATTTTCTGGGTTTTTGTCTTCCCCCCACTTCCCATATTTTCCCATATTTTCCTGGAAGTGGACGCTTGATTGTGTCTGTGTTTTTTCCCCTCCTGGCAGGGCCCGAGGCATGCGTGCGGTCGAGCGGGGGCCAGGGAGCGTGTGGGAAAGAGGAAGCCATAACCTCCGCGACGAGGCGGAGCAGGCGTACGTGCAGACGGTGCGCGCGGCGGCTGGGACCTCCTGCGCATCACTTGAGATGCGGTCCAACCGCATTCTCACAGACGCACACGCACACGCACACAGACAAGCACACGCACACACGCACAGGCGCACGCACACGCACATTGCAGACGCAAACGCAAACACACACACACACACACACACACACAATCGCACGCCCACGCACACACACATACACACATATACACATACACACATACACACATACACACAAAAGCACGCACACACACAAACACACATACACACACGCACACGCGAACGCGCACGCGCACGCACGCACACACGCACACGCACACGCACACGCACGTGCACACGCACACGCACACGCACACGCGCACGCGCACGTGCACACGCACACGCACACGCACACGCGCACGCGCACGCGCACACGCACACGCGCACACGCACACACACACACACACACACACACGCACACACACACACACACGCACACACACACACACACACACGCAATCGCACACGCACACGCGCACGCGCACACGCACACGCACACGCACACGCACACGCACACGCACACGCACGCATACACATATACACACACACACACACACTTACTGTTCGGTCGTCCGCGGGCGGGCGCAGAGCCACGCCGCCAGCCTGCGCGCGCCGGGTGCGCGCGAGCGGGCCAGCTGGCCCCTCGCGGGGCAGAGGCCAGCCTCTCACGGGGCAGAAGACAAGCGTCCGAATCGGCGAAAGCCGAGGCGGCGATCAAGAAACTCGCGCGGTCAAAAGCCCAAGCTGGCCAGGATGAGGACGACCAGGGGCCAGCAAGACCAGGGAGAAGCGAGAAGCGAGGAGCGACAGCGGCAACCGGAGAGGAGACAGACGGACGCGAGGGACGCGGGCCGACCGACGGAGGAGGGGGAGCCGAAGTAGAAGGCAGGAGGCACCACATGCCACAAGGGCAAGGCAGGGCACGAAGAGGGGAGGGAAACGGCCGAGGAGGGGGGCGAGGAGGGGAGGAAGGCACAACGCAGAGGCAGGGGGGGAGAAAGGAGGGGGGCCACGGGCGGCCATGGCACGCCGACGGGCAGCGACGGAAGGAGGCCATGCCTCGGGAGGGGGGGGGGGGGGAACGCTGGGGGGCGGAGGGGGCGACGACGACGAGGAGAAGGATGAGGAGGAACTAGAAGGCAACACCATGCACGCACTGCTGCATGCAGACCATGAGGACACTTGAGACACCTGCTGCATGAAGACACCTGTCCCTTGAGGACACCTGTCCCTTGAGGGCAGACCATGCACGCACTGCTGCGTGCAGTTCTCTCGGGAAGTGCGCGGACTACCCACCTGGGTGGAGGAAAGGGCCAGCGGATTGCCCCACCGCGGAGGGGATGTGGGCGTGTGGACCACTCCCCCGCAGAGGGAAAAGGAACGAAGGCGGCAGTTGAACGCCTTGCCCGGCAGCCACAGTTCGAGGGCCAAGGAGAAGGACGAGGAGCAGAGGAGGGGAAGGCAGAGCACGCACGCTGTACAACATGCAGTTCTCGCGAAGTGCTCGAATTACCCATCGCGTAGGGGAAAAGGCAAGCGGACCAGCGTGTTTGAAATATTATATCTGGGCCCCCCAGTCGGGAAGGCGAAGTGTTTGTCAAATTGCGGAGACTCCGACCGCTGCAGGCCAGTGAGCCCTGCGACACCACGTTGACGTCCTGGAGGGAGCGATGGCCCGCCAGCTGCGGCGAAAGAAGGGCGCGCGTCTGGGGCCTGCTACACCGCTGCCGTGGTCCGCCGTGCACATCTGGGGCCCGCTCCACCGCTGAGGCGACCTTCTCCGCCAGGCGAGGGTTGGTCAGCAGCTGGGCGGCGAAGCTTACGACGTCGGGTTGTGACCCCATGGGGGCGGACGGCGGGGAGGCCCGTGGCGCGATGGAGCGGAGGCGGCGACGCGGGGACTTCATCGAGGACGAGGCCCAGGCCCGGCGCGCACCTGAGATAGGGGCGAGCTCGAGCCAAGACGGCATGAGCCAGGCAACGGACACACACGCACACAAACACGCACGCACGCACGCACGCACGCACGCACGCACGCACGCACCCACACACACAACTACACGCACACACACAATCTTTAACGTTACCCCCCTCTTTGGCGCCCCCGAAGATGTCGAACTGGATGACGTGGCCGCCGTCCGCCGCGTGTCTGATGGCGACAGGCCAGAGCCGGGCGCCGATGCCCGAAGAAGGCTCGCTCTGGAAGCCCCATTCCCGCTCCCGCTCCTCCTCCCCTCTCCCGGGCGTTGGCAAGACTGGATCTACTACTACTGGGACCTGGTTTAGTATGTACACCGGGGGACGACGACTCCGACCCACTCCACTGACTGGAACTGTCGCCCCCCCAATACACCAGCTACGGCAGACTTGGTTGAGCGGCTCTGGTTTAAGCTTTCGCCTTTGAAGGGGCCCCGTCGCTATCTGGCCCCCCTTACCTGGGGTCCTGGCTGTATCCGACACTCCACTGCGCAGGAAGATCGGGCGCTGGCAGGACTGGGTTTAGTGGGACCTGGTTTAGTGGTGTGTACTAGGGGACGCCCTCCCGCCCCATTCTACTAACTGGAACTGCCGTCACCCGAAAAAAACACCAGCTACGGCAGTGATTCTTGCCAATTTAGGGGCTCGGGGGCCCTACTACTGACTGGGGCCCCTTACCTGGGGTTCTGGCTATACCCGAGAAGAGTCTAAACATCACCGCCAGGCTTGGCCAGCACGGCGGTGGTGTGCAGCGGATCCCTTCTGCGGATCCCCTCTGGCAGCCCCCAGTTCTCCGACCCCCCGTCGGGCGTTGGGTCATGGGGGGCGACCAACCGTCGATCGCCCCCCCATGAACCAATGCCCGACGGGGGTGCGACAAAACGTGCACCTTTTGGACCCCCAGAGGTCTCGACCCATTCCCGGGGACAGGTGTTCCATCCCGAGTCGTTTTTGTTGCCCGTCCCGAGGCCCGGTACGGGCCCCCAGCGGCCGAACATAGCGACAATACCTCCCGTCGTGACTTTGTCATGAATCGAGGGGGACTGGGCTGACCCCCCCCCCCAGCGCCTCGCCCCGACCCCGCCTCCACCTCGTGCTGGCGCTGCCTTTCGGCCAGGCAGAGCAGCCCCGAGGCGACCGCTTCTGACGAACGATCAACAAACACATACACATGCAAGATAATGCCAGGGTAGATTCGGGTGAGAAGTTATCCGGAATCTCTGAGATCCGGCGGCTCTGGAGGATGTCTCAGGCGCAGCGGCCTTCTCAGCGCGTTCTCGATCGCTGAGCATTTTCCGGAACGCTCTGGAACGGATTGATCGTCGTCCTAGCCCCGTCCGGCCATAGGGGGGACGGGGGAACGGGGGTGGGGCTGTGGGTGCGTGTTGTCGGATGGGGGTCCCCGCTCGAACAGGGAGCCTCCCCCGGGGTCCAACAGCCCGCACCCACACCCACACCCACACCCATAGCCAGTCCCCATCACTCCCACCCCATGGGTACACGTCATTCATTTCTGATCGTGCTCATTTCTACTTGTGCTCGTTTCTCGGTTGTTCCTGGCCCCCTAGTGGCCAGGAAGAGGCCCAGGACAGCACACTTAGAAATGAAGGGACCTTGGCCCCCGAAAACATCAAAGACCCTTCGAATAATTACACCAGAAGAAAATCCCAATAAGTGCATGGTTTTCGCTGAAGAGATCGACCAAGAACCTGGGAGCCTGGGAACCCAAAACACACCGAAATCGGCCCGGAACCAATAACCGGGAACCCAAAAATCCGGAACCGGGAATCTGGGAACCCAGCCTGCTACCAAAATCCGCGGGAAACTTTCGCCAAATCTTCCAACTTTCGCTATAGGACCCCTTCAGTGCAAGCACTGATTGGGGAATAATTGAAGTGAACCATGTGTCTGGGTGTGTGTGTGTGTGTGTGTTGTTCGCTCGTCCGTCTTCGGGCACTGGCGCGGAGCCTCGGTCTGCCAGCTGAGGTTGGCCCCCTGGCGGTCCGGGGCGCGCGACAGGTCGCAGGCCCGGTAGAGCAGGCAGCCGTCCCAGTCGGCGTACGCGAAGTGGCAGGTGGGGTCGCGCGCGCAGAGCTCGCCGCAGCCGCCCGCCTGCCGTGGCGCTCCCCAGACATCTGGCGTCTCGAAAAAATCGAGACAGACATTTTCCATCGTTTTCGGCCTCTCCGGGGCCCTCACCGGGCCTCGGGACCGTCAAAAAACGTCTCGGGATGAAAAACCGGTCCCGGGGAAGTGGTCGAGAGGTCAGGGGGCCCGCGTCTCGAAAAAATCGAGACGCCGGATGTCTGGGTCACGGGCGGACAACGTCTCCGCCGTAGCCGCGGCCTCGCGGGCCGGGCCCCTGGGCCGCGACCCGACGAAGACGGAGCGCTGTACTTCACGGAGGCCCCTCGCGGGACGTGCCCGTGCGACCGCGTCTCCGCGGGGTCGCGCCCTGGGGGTCCGGACCGCGGGGGCGCGGGCCCGGACGTGCTCGCGCCGCGCGTGGGGCGAGGGGGCGCACGGAGCGGGCGGTGAGACGAGGAGTAAGCACAACCAGGGTTCGGTCGGGCGCGTCCCCCTGCAGGCGGAGTTTGGACAACAATGATTTAAAATCGTCCCGAGCCTATTTTTTTGTAAAACTATTTTTGAATATTCCCCGTGCAGAGGAACAGACCAGGGTGGGGACCGGCCCAGGGAGGGGAAGGGAGCATCGAGCGGACACCGGCGGTACATCGCCGATAGATCGGCGAGAGGCCCCCCGATAGCGAATCCGCACGTTCCTGGGCTGGGTGGGATGTCGGGGCCCTGGCGGCGATCGATGGGCGCGTGGGAGTCGATGCGGCCCCGCCTGAGCCTCTCCTCCCCGAGCGCTGCGCCCTGTGGAAGGGGCCCCAGGGCGGTCACCTGCCCTGAAGTCGATGGTGGAGCTTGCCACAGCAAGCAGCCAACCCGCATCTGATTTCACATAGACGACGCTGGTGAGCAGAGAAGTTGGTCAGGCCAGGGCCCGCAGTGAGAGACAGCATGATCCTCCACAGCTCGCAGCGCGCGGCTCAAGAGAGCTACTGTCGGATCCGAGCAGCTGCCAACGCTGCCCCACGATCGATCGAACCTGACAAGGCAGACGGGGCAACCGCCCTGACCTCTGAACGATTGCGGGAAGCATTTCTGCCCACTGTGTGGGGAGGGCGCCGGGATGGTCGCCATGCATAACTGCCCTGGACGCGAGAGGGGTTCATGATGCCCCCTCGCCAAGTGATCGGCGGACACATGTGAAGATGTGCGAGGGTTCCAACAAGCTTGGGGTGTCTCTTGTAGGCCCCTTGGGCTCTCACCAACATCGGCCGACGACTCTCTGGAGTGGCTGATGCTACGGCAGCCCATGGTCAGTGTTGATTGAGAAGGCACGGGGCACAGAGTCGGCGAAGAGAAATGTTTCAAAGTGGCCCTGGATCTTTCCTGTGAGCGAGTCCAAGCTGGCAAGTGCTGGAGGGTCTGCTTCTTGTACGCGCATTCCCCCGCAAGAGCGGGTGAGAATGAATGGTCGTGGGCGCGCAAACATGGATCGGGGGAGGTGCTCTCCCCAAAATGCGGCCAGTGCCGCCTCGTTCAGCGGCGGAAATTTAAGGACTTCCCATGGAAACGGGACGGACCCGTCGCTAATCCACACCCCCTTAATCCACGTTTGCGATCGCCTGAAATGGGCGTCCATCTGGCCACACCCACGCCGCCCCCCCCGTGCGCCTTCCCCCCCCCCCCCCGCACCGTGTGGCCGGCTGTGTGGCAACCCGTGACCACTTGTGTGGCACGTCGTGTGGCCTCCTCTTGTCGCGCGCGTCCAGGCCTGGGTGGCTCGTGCGCCGGAGACGAGGCGGCGGCCAGAAGATCCGGTCGCAGCAAGCCAGCAAGAGGGCATGAGCTGCGGCGTGCGTCTGCCAGACACGGCCAGCCTCGGCAGCCCAAAGCGTAGCCGACACGTTGCATGATGATGATGATGATGATGAGGAGGAGGAGGAGGAGGAGGAGGAGGATAAGAAAGAAGAGGAACAGCAGGAGGAGGAACAGCAGGAGGACGCCAGGAGGCAAATTATGTTCATGCGCGCGGAGGAGGAGGAGGAGGTGGAGGAGGAGGTGGAGGAGAAGGTGGAGGAGGAGGAGGAGGAGGAGGAGCAGGAGGAGCAGGAGGAGAAGGCCCAAACATCCGGTGTCAACCATTACATCAACACGGGGTCTCCAGAAAACCCGACCCGTTCCCGGGATTTCATCGCGAATCGTTTTGTTGACGGCCGCGGGGGCCTGGTAAGGGCCCGCCCTGGAGGCCGAAAACGGAAAAACGCGAGCATGCCTGGGCGCGCACACTCGGGGCTGCCCCCGCTTCCTATCGAGCTGCCCCGACCCCTCGGGCCTCGCGCGCCACGTCCGCACCCGCCACGCGGCACCTCGCCCCCTCGTGGCTCCACGACCCGGCGCCGCCCCGCGCGGTCACGGCGCAGTCCTTGGGGCTCCTCTCGGCTACGCGCAAGAGCGACCCTGGGCAAGAGTGACCCTTGGTGCGCGGCTTTCGGGGGGCGCGGGGGGGCCAAACCAGAGCGCGCACGCCGCTGCTCTTGCAGCCCTTTCGCCCATCTGGGGACCCCAGTGCAGGATAGCCCAGAATCAAATCGAGAAATCGCATCGGCGATCGAATAGATCGGATCGGCAGACATCGGCAGCCGAGGCTTGAGAGGCCT